ATTATCTAATAATAGGTAATAACAGTAATATCCGACATACTGACTCTCATCTGTTTTTTGCAAAGTCAAAAGTTAAAGACGATAATTAAGTAATTGGAGCAGTGCAAATTTGGCAGCATTTGGCTTTTTGCAAGTGTATCCACATGTTGAATTGTACACCAAATGAGTCAAGAAAACACAGTATCTCAAGCACCGTTACAACAATATTATAATGCGTGTCAAAAACTAAAGCAAAAAAATTAAGAATGAAGGAAAATAGCGTTTAGAGACAAACAATCCACTTTGCTTCGAGACTCAGCATACCCAGAAAAGTACATGAAAATGTTAATACATTATTTATTTTTTTAATACAAATTGTCATCAGTTTATTTTTTGAAAAGTGAAAAAGTTTTTTTATGCACTGACTGTTTCTACGTAATTTCAAAGTTTCACGTATACCTCTTTAGGATGGTTTACTAACAAATTTTTTTTAAATGTTGCAAATTAAAATATTCCTGTTATTTAATTACTTTTACAGCTAATGAGCAAGGAAGATGCAACTGGATTATCTTCTCTAAAGGAAAATGAAAGAAATAATCAAAATTTTCTTCATCTAAGGAAATCTATATTGTTTAAATTGTGACAATTACCTACTGAAGGTCTAAATCAATTGGTTAGTTAAAACCAACTACGATTATTTTAAGACAACGAATTCAATTAACTACGTGTTTGATACCATTAAATTCAGAATATACCGAGTGGGGCATTTATCTTGAGATAAAATAATATTTCGGTCTTGACATGACCTTGAAAATGACCATGACTTTGACTTCAAGGTCGTTTGAAAATCAAATTCAAAATTTTACATGGGAACCTCTTTTTTGACCTCGGATATTATAAGAGCGGGAAGTTTTACAATAAGATATGAACTTAACCTCAAGAACAATATCAGATGTCAAGGTTATTTTAAGGTCGAAAAAATGTATAATTATTAACTACTTTTAGCACTACCCAGGAATAATGATGTGGACGTAGTAGTTTTTTATTCTTTTTAAGGTGCTTGTTTTTGGTGAAAGGAAGAATTTTTTCAGATTTCTGAAGATTTTTTATGATTTGCTGAAGACTGAAGTGTGTATTTGTTCTTCAAACGACCTTGAAGTCAACATCAAGGTCATGTGAAGATAGTCTCCTTGTCACCCTGAAACAATTAAAAAAAAAGTGATCCAAACAAGGTACTCCGTTGTCTCAAGATTCTTTTTTTTTGTTTTTTTTTAATGGACATTTTATGGCCAAAATTTGGGTTAAATCGAAATATTAATAGGAACAAAAAGTATTTTTTTTGTTTTTCAATTGAAAAAATTGGGTGTTTCCATTTAAAAAAACAACTTCCGGTCTAAAACACCACCCGGTCTAAACCTTTCAGACTACATATCTATTAGCAGATGTTATTCCAAAAACCTTATTACAATTTATTATTCGAAAATCATTATTACAATTTAATTCGAACAAAGCAATATTAGCGTTCTATACATTGTATGAAGGTTTAAAATAAGATCTTCCCACAAGGCATGCGGGTGAGACATTACAAAAGCCTTTATGTGCAACGTTTTATGTGATCATTAAGATGAATATCTTTGTTGAAATGTGCACGCTAAACAAACTGCTAAAGTCGAGCAGACACCAAAGGTAGATAAGATAAAGTCTGGTTACTAATATGCTGATTACTACCGATTTCATTGCGATACCTATTGACAAATAAGGCGATAGATGTAAGCTCCAGACCAAGCAATAACAAAGATATCAAATAATTTTCGTGTCCTTCGAAATAGTGTAATAAGAACATATAATCGGAAGAGAGCAAGGAAATAAGGATTTGATTTTTTGACCAGTACATGTTGTAAATTAATGTTATTTATTTGCTGTATTCCGACTACACATTTATAGTAATAAAGATGACATTAATAAATTAATAATAATAGAAAACGGAAATAGAAATAGAAATGATTTGGGGTTTTTTAAAAAATATTTTTCATTGTCTAGTAACCTTTTTTAAACCATTTTTTCTTTACAACCAAAAAGTAGCGGGACATTTTAAGATCAGATATTTTTTTTAAAAGTAGTTCAGGAATTTTCGAATTTCAGATAAAATATTTTAAATTTCACTTTACAAGTCACATATTATGCAAGAAAATCAGTATTATTACCTCTCTTATATCTTTTAATACTTATTTCTCTATAGTAAACCGACCCAAGATATTTGTTTCTCATATAATCATTGTTGTCAGATGGTTTCGCAAAAAATATTGCAGGTTTATTGCATAAATGAAATTTTCTATATAGATAAACACACTGACTGCACTGTGAAGAAAACAATAGCAGCAGCTGTATTTTATTTGTCTGAGATCTCAGCTAGTCTCAGTCCTTTGAATATTTATTAGTCAATAATTACAACACTGACATACAACAAAAACTTTTTATTTTCCCCAGACGATCTTTTACTACATATACCTGCTTAGTAACGAGAATGTTATTATTCAAATTTGTATAATTAAACTTACCATTTGCAATTAAAAATTACAGCAGATTATGAAGTTTTTCAAATTATTCCGTGGTATATCACATGAAAAAGCTTTTACTTTTTTAAAAGATTTATTAAGAGTAGACACCTGAATTATTAATTAAGATGATTATATGATTAAATTGCACCAGTTGTAAGAATGTTTAAGTTGTTTGCTGATTTAAACATGAGCTATCACAGTATTGCACAATTTTCTTGAAGATTAACTCTTGCTAAAAAAAGTAAGTAATAAACAATAACAATGAAATATTTATACCATTTTTATTAATATTTGAAATACAAATTTTATTCACAAATAAAACATTTTACAATGCGTTCATTATTACATTTTTCATTTAAATTAAATATTACATTATTATAATACAAAGAGCAATTACTTATTTTTATTTAAAAATTAATTATGCTAACTTTTAATTTCACTACGATCTTAATCTTTTTGACCGTTTTCAGAATTTAAGTGTTTGTTTAATTAAAATGAGTATTCCTCAACATCTGAAAATATTCATATTTTACACATGTTGTAACCAAATATACACCAGCATACGTTGTTATACCAAATAACTAAAAATGAACGAATGAAAAATAATATCGTCATTATAAATTCAGAATTGTTCCTAAAAATCTTATTAAATGAAATCAAATAGTACCCTTTTTGAAAAAATTTAGACTTTATTTGAAGTAGCTTTATTCAATTAAAATAAAGCAGAAACACAACAGCTAATAAAGCATATATTTAAAAAATATATTACTATGAAATATAAAACTTTTTCTCAAAATATTATGTGACGCCTCTGATCCCATATACTTTTACGTCAAGTAGGCTCCACAGGTAATTATATATCCGTTTACTTTTACAACTGATTACACTGATTTTCAATTTTTAATATTTCTATTTTAATGTATAATTTAATTGACCTTTCTAAATGATGAATTTTGCTAATTGAAACTAATTATTAATATTAATACAAATTAACAGTTTGGGTCCAATATCATTGTTTTTAGTGTACAGTTATGTCACAGCTATAACGGCTACTACGATTATGGATTGGTTTCTTCTTATTATTTTAGAGTAAGCATTATCTCCAAGCAAACCTTTTTTTCTTTTAGCATAAATTATTTTCTTTCTGGTTTGGCTGTAGTTGAAAAACGTTGAAATTGTACTGTTGTAGTCCGTATTCCAAATCGCTCAAATTTCCAATCGGAATCACGAACCATTCTATGTCCAATCTTGGCCAAAGTAAAGGCATGTGTACGAGAGGACCTAAATTACCCTTTATGAGAAGTACAAGAAATGTTTTCAACTAAGTTTCCTAAAATTTCGACGAAGTTCCTAAGAGGCCTCAAACACCGAAGCCGCAGCAGACAATACCGGAGGCCTATGCTGTCGGTAGATCATCAGCTCCAGTCCAAACTTAGCAGACTTCATTGCAGGACCTCTACGGTCCCATCAAAACCTGTGATTGAACGTCGACCCTGCCTTGTCGTTTCTTGATCAGGTTCGAAACCTGGCCAATCGTGTAGTAGGACACAAATTTTAAAGTTGCTTTATGCAAAGCTTTTTATAAATCCAACATTATTTATTGTAAATTATTGTAAATCAGTGCTTTTCAATAAATTTAAATTTTTAATCATTTAGAACATAGTTAAACATTACTCCTATCCTAGCCCTTAATTCAAGCACGCCAGTCAGTCAGGCATTGTTCAATCACGCAGTGAAGATCCCACGGTATACAATAAGCTCCCAGAAGCTTCCCAATTTATAGATACATACTCACAGGAGACCTACACAAGCTCCTAGAAGCTTACCGCATTACATTACAAAAGTCGTTTTACATAGTATTGGCACAATTTGTTGGTTCATTTTTGTTATACCTACTCTATAGAGATAGGTACCTCTAAAAATACCTACAAAAAAAATTCAAGTCCAAACCCAAGGCTACAAAGTGTGTAGGTAGGTACTTCATGTCCTTACTCCATGTTGACTTATAGTGGAAACAAAGGCTTTGTGCGTTGTGGTCGAGTCAAAATAGAATTTGACATGTCAGAAAGAGCAAACTGCTACTCCATTTGTTGCAAATAAAATTGTCTAGTTTCTATTTGCTACAGAGATTATTGTTGATGTCTGTTTCTGCCATCTATTTATTTATAAAATTTTTAAAAAAATTATTATTTATCGATACTAGTTGTGATGTAACTTTTTTTTGTAATTTAAAATTTAATTACAAATGTTTATTAATTATTTGGAGAAAAAATTATCAGTTCCGCCGTTCCCTAGTAGGTACGAATCAATTCATTTCTTGGTAGGATTCAGTTTAACATTTTATTTATTTCGATCCCAATAATTTTGTCTTCTAAATATGCAACCAGTATTACACGTAACAGTGTTTTTGTTTGGTTGGCAATACTAAATCAAAACAAAATTTCTCTGTACAGAGAAGTGAATGTTCAATGTTTTCTCCCAGTGACAGATGCTGCGAGAGCTTATGAAAAGAAAAGTTGTGTTAGTGAAACATACTAAATAAAAGGTGGGTATGAATTAATTTGATTTAAAATGGCACAAAGTACTACCAGTGGAACTTCATCTCGACGACATGCTAGGGATCATGATACCGCTTCGATTACTTCTTCAAGAATCGCAGATATTGCTGAGTGGGAGGCAAATGAGGTAAATAAAAGTCTGATTTCAATTATTAATTTATCATTTGTTTTATGTAGGTCACTATTATATTGCTAAAATAAAGTAGATATGTAAAATATGGACAAAATTCTTAAAGGTTTCTCAATAAAGTTTCCAATTGGATACCCATCAGAGAAGGTACAGTTTAAATAAGATTTTGCTTGTGAAGAAGCAATAGTAAGTACCTAGATAAAATACAAACTTTCACCAGCTTATACTTATATAAGTGAAATAGAAATTGTCGAGCAATATGTTTGTACCTATATACTGAAAGACTTACTTTGCCATTAAAAACTCCTTTTTGCATGAAGTACTTATTTTAAATGTATTTTAGAAATTATCGGCAAAACATCAAGAGGTTATTTGTTTGATAAATCAGGCCACTTCTCTAATTCTGTGATTTTTTCACAACTCAGTAATTTTAGATTTTTGGGTAAACTGTAAACGTAAACTATTGAGTCAAAATTCCTTATTTTAATTTTGTATATCCACGATTTGAATTTGTTTATAATTTGTTGTGGATAACTCTAGTTTGAATTCATATGGATAGGAATAGGATCGAGGATACTACAAATTAGCAGAAACCATCATTTTTGTATTAGAACGTATCAGTGACAGTTAATGAGATTTAAAGTGGCCATATTTTGATCGCAAAGGGGATAATTTTTAGGACTATATAGAAACGAAAATAAGAATATTGGAAACGAAATTTGAGAAATAAAAAATTAAGATAGGATAAACCAACCCTGAGATATTTGGATTTGAATTCTAGTCATATCTGAAAACAATATATTAAATAAAACTATAAAATCTCAGTTGTATCTGCAACCAAGGTTACTATTTCCATAATTTATTTATTTATTTATTTTTTCATAGTTCTGTTTTTAAGTAATACTTTTTTGATTCGAAGTTAAACAAGCTTATACCTAAAAAGTGAGCATAAGAAAAATATAAGTACATATGTACAGAAATACTTTTTCAAGAAATTATTTATAAACTTAACAAGATATATTAAATGATTAATTTTTGTCTTGTATTAACTATATTTGTGTTGGCGTAAGATTGTTTTCTATATTATTTGCATAGTTAGGTATGGGTAGTGATCAACTTTTAAAGAACAACAACGAATTATTTACATAATTGACCTTGAAATTGAAAATTAATCGCAATTACAACAAAGAATTCTAATATACGTCTTGCGTAATATCGAAATCGAATTGGATTAAGTAATTATTTATTTATATTCCGTTACAAAATAAAAAAAAAAACAATTAAAAATGTAGATAGACATTTTTAATTGTGTTTTTTTAATGAATGATTAGTTTTTTTTTAAGGTAAATCACACATTTTGAAAGGTGTAAATAAATGTTTGAAGATTTTTCTATTAGCAGCAATGATAAAAATTTAAAAATATTTGTCATAATTTAATCATTTTCATAATTCGTATGTTTTAAAAGGAAATATGTAAGTAAATATATAATTTTGTTGTCGCAGTTTGGATTAGTTGGATTATAAAATGATTAAAATAGATAAATGTCATTAAGATTAGTCTCATGTTTTTGTATTATTTATACGAGGTGTCCTGAATTGCATAGACAAACTCTGCTTAGTGATAGAACTTCCCCAAATAAAGAAGTGTACCTGCCTGGAAACGTTTACTTTTTTTTGACAAAAAAATAAACACGAAAATTTACACGAGGACTTTAACTTTTTATATTTTATATATAAAAAAAATTATAATCCAGAATTATTCAGGGGTAGGTCTTTCTTGGGATGTTTTTTTTTTAAATTTTAACCAGAATATTAAAATTGGAACTTTTTTTACACAATAAACATTAAAACTCCCTCAAAAGTTCTAATTATGAAACTTTGGTCTGAGATTATTCCAAGAAAGATGAGATAAAATTTTGACTAAGTTATTCAGTTTTACCCAGTTTAGAATACTATGTAATTTCCAATTTTTTTTTCTGTTTTTAGTTGTAATTAATATTTTCAAAAAATAAAAAAAAAATTGTTTTAAACACAAGTGTATCTCATAAACTAAACATTTACCCATCCATGTTTTTTCTTGCTGTAAGAAGTTTTATCACCAGTGAAATTTTGTCTATGTAGTTCAGGACATCTCGTGTACCTTTACTTTAATCGTTAGGCTTTACGGCAAAGAGAACTGGAAGAGGCCAAAGGGAGGGCTGCCCAAATGGAAAAAACCATGAGGTGGTGGTCCGACTGCACGGCAAATTGGAGAGAAAAGTGGAGCAAGGTTCGTAACGAGAGAAACAAAGCTAGAGACGAGTGTAAACAGCTGCGCACAAAACTAGAAACAGCTCTTAAAGAGACAAGTACAAATAAACGCGAGAAAGAGGAACTTGAAATACAAAACGACCAACTGAAAAGGGAGATAGAACGAATCCATATCCTGCTGTTGAAACATGCCGGTCAATTTGATAGTCAGATACTGGAGGCGTTGAGTGAGGATCCGTTGAAGGAATTCGTTTTTAGCAATGGGTCTCCCATTAAGGAAAGGGAAAACGGAGTGTCCTCTTCTCAGTCCAATCCCGAATGTGATAGTACAGCGATACACGATCTAGAAAGTTGTGCTATAGAGGAGTACGTCTTACAGGGAGCCGTTCCTAGACAGGTTAAGGAGCCTGATAAAAAAGTTGGTAGTACCTTTGAACAAATTAATGGTATTGAAAAATCTACCAGTGACAGGGGGGAGTACGATGAGGAATATGTTATCCAGAAATTATCAATGCTACAGTTGAGGCTGGAGGAGGCGACCAAAACACTGCAGATTGAAAGAGAGTAAGTTGTAATCTTGGTCAAGTAAATACATGTGGAGGAGGCTGAAAAAATCGACTATTATTTTTCTAAATCCCTCTGAAATAGATTCGGGGGGATGAGTAGAGACGCTTGTAAAAATCGGAACGCTTAATATTAATATTTAGAGGTCGTGCATCGCTATTTTCTATTTTCCATTCAAATAACATGTGAGAAATTGTTTTTTAACTTCAGAATTTTATATTTTAAAAACCTGTAGACGGATTTAAATGACCGAAACGTATTCTTGTAGGGAATTGAACGTTCTACAAAAAATGCCCCTTATCATTTTTTGATAAACCTACTCGTACAAAAGTTATTCAAATTCAAAGTTTTTATGTTATAATTACACTTTTTTCTCCAGTTTCAGGTAAAATGATTAAAGTTATCATGAAATCTTGTAAAAAAGGCATTTAAAAGTCAAAATCAAGTCTTTCAAATTAATATGACTGAAAAACCCACCATTTCTGGGAAGAATCAATTAAAATCCTTTTTATTGTATTAAATAGTAAATAATAATAAGTGACTTTTCGGTTGTGATAGTGGAAAATTTTAAACTATCACAACCGAAGTCATTTATCATTAGTAAAGAAATAATTTAAACAAATTTCAAATACTATTTAATACAAAGGATTTTAATTGATTCTTCCCAATTTTGACTTTTAAATGTCTTTTTTATAATATTTTATGATAACTTTAATCATTTTACCTGAAACTGGAGATAAAAGTGTAATTATTACATAAATACAATTTTGAATTTGATTAACTTTTGTGCGAATAGGTTTATCAAAAAATGATAAGGGACATTTTTTGTAGAACGTTCAATTCCCTACAAGAATACGTTTCGGTCATTTAAATCCGTTTATTGGTTTTTGAGATATAAAATTCTGAAATTAAAAAATAATTTTTCCCATATTATTTATATGGAAAATAGAGAATTGCGATGCACGACCTCTAAATGTTAATATTAAGAGTTCCGATTTTTACAGGCACCTCTTCTCACCTCCCTGAATCTATTTCAGAGGGGATTTTGAAAAAAAAATACTCAATTTTTTGTAATGAGCCTAATGTGGAGTGTTATAAAATGTAGGTCAAGGTGTAAACTAGAGTCTCAGGATGAAACAATGTATCTTTTGTTATGCCATTTTTAATTCAGGCAACATTTATTCAAAATGCAACATTCAAGACATCATTATTTTTTTTTTAATTACTCCGCTGTTTTTCTGTTTCTGTTGATACTTGTATAGAGATTCTATGCGGGCATATTTTTTGTGCAATTTTGTTAAAAAACTTGAAGCAGGAATGGAAAGTCGTTTAACTTTAAGCATTACAACTTTGAATATTGGGTCTTATGAATAAAACAGATAATTGGGCATCATTTTATAATTATTTGTAATTAGCTTGGCCTATTTTTGTATATTACGACAAATATATTTAACTTTTTAAATACATTTCGATTATATTTATTATTTAGTTAGTAAATTTGTAATGTAATATTTAGGGAGAAGTCTCTTTTACATCGTAACATTGAGAGATTGACCAGCGAACTGCAGGAAGCGAAAGACAAGTGTGATGAATTACGTGAAACGCGGCAAGATGCAATGAGGGAGTTACTGTTGCTCCAGGATGAGCATCAGAAGGAATTGGAATTGATAAAAGCCGATTTACAAGAGGAGGCGAATTCTAGGGAAGGAATGGACAAGAGACTTAATGACCTGAGGACAGAAGTAAGTCGAGTTTTAATATAGCGTGTTTTTTAAGTTTGTGCCATAACTTCAGTGGTGTGTTGTTTGGGCCATTTTAGACCAAGAAATATAAAATATGTACGACATTTTTTAAATATATCTCATAATATTTTTCGTAGAATAACGAAATTTCAGTGTATTGCTTAATTACTGGGACTGTGAATTAATTTTGAGGAATTATTTTATAAATTCAAGTCTTCATTGTGAAAAACTGTGTACATTATTAAATTTCGAAGTATTGTCCATTGCTAGCCACTACTATTCCCATCTTTCTGGCAGCATACGGATTCTGAGTTGAAAAAATAATTCATCTTTTGAGGCTATGCACCAATTGATCCAATTTTTCGTGTCTTCGTAAGACCAGAAGCGCTGCTTAGTCGGGCGGTGTTCCATAGATCCGAACAAGCAGTAATCCGATGGAGCAAAATCTGGTGAATATGGCGGGTGGAGTAAAACATCCCATTTCAGCGTTTCAAAGTATTCTTTGACTTCATGAGTAACATGTGGTTGAGCATTGTCATGTAGACAAGATACTTTATCATGCTTTTGCTCGGATTGCGGCCGTTTTTCCTTCAATGTATGGTTCAAATACATCAATTGTGTTCGGTAACGTTTACCCGTGATGATTTTACTTGGTTGAAGCATCTGATAATACACAACACCAAGCTCGTGCCACCAAATACAGAGCATGAGTTTCGACCCATGAATATTGGGCATTGCCATCGATATTGATGCATGACCAAGCAAACCCCACAATTTTCTATACTTAGGATTATCATAGTGTATCCATTTTTCATCGCTAGTGGTGATATGATGCAAAAAAACCCTTTCCTCATTGCTGTTGAAGCAATTAATTATTCACACGTGAAAAATCTTCATCTCAAATTGGTTGCTTTTGAATTGTACCGAGTGCATTTAAACGTTTGTAAACTATTGTGCGATCATCGTTCCACAATTCAGCAAGTTTATCTTGTGTTTAATATGGATCTTGGTTGAGTAACGCTTCCAATTCCTCATCTTTGAACTTTTTTGGTTGACCAGGGCATTCTTTGTCAATTCAATTGAAATCACCACTTCTAAAACTTCGAAACCAGTATTCACATGTTTTTATTGAAGGAGTATGTTCACCATAGGTTTCCAACAGCACTCGATGACTTTATGTAGCAGTTCTGTTTGAATTAAATAGGAAAAGTAGAACTTTACGCAAATGGTGTTGTGTTGGCTCTCAATTCGACATCATCGAAGCTGCATCGTAAAGTTTAATGGCAGAACTTTGACATGATTATAAATAGATTTGTCCGTTGCGATATAGCATAAGTTTCGCCATCTATTGTAAATCCCTCAAAATAAAACTCAGTTATAGTATACAGGGTGTAAGAAGTTTGATTGCCATTATTTCATCATGAGATAGAGTAATCATAAATAAACAAAAAAGTTGTATATTACAGAGACGTAAGATTAACAGTTTTTAAAATATATCGAGTGTTAATATTAGGGAGTTTCATCACAACTTGAAAACACACAACTTAATGTTACAGAGACTTGTCCTACGGAATAACAAAAATGTAAATAACTATTATTGTGAAACATTTAGTAAATTTCAAGACAATTGTTTTCCAGTTTTTAAATAAATAAAATAAAATGTATTGATTTTGTATTACGAAGATAGTGTTGTGCTTAAATTTTAGCTCGAATTTTAGTAATTGCGAATCTCTTAAAACACTTTTAATCTAATTATCAATTTGAAAAATATGTAATTAAAGTACCCAATGATTCACGTCAAATCATCATGAAATTTTTTAAACATTTTTAGTTTTGTGGTGTCTCAATTGGGGGAGTCGTCGGCTAAAATTCGCCCCTATATTTTTTTTTCTTGTCGAAATTTTCAAATTCAGATGCCATCATATGATAGACCTTCATTTCCTCCACAAAAAAGGTTCTCTTTATTTTTGATAAAATGCTCCATTTGCCAAAAAAACTTTTGTTCTTATCTTTAAAAAGTCCCGTTTATTTTGAAAAAGCACCTTGTATATTTAATTGAAAACATACACAATATTTACAATTAACTGATTCGTATACTGCTGATTTGAACAATGTAATAAAAATATCGTTCAATGACACTTTTAGTTGGAAAGATTGCAAGCCGAGAATGCCGCGGAATGGGGAAAACGGGAACGTTTAGAAACGGAGAAGTTGGCTTTGGAAAGGGACAACAAGAAACTCAGGAGCGAGCTGAGAGACATGCAGGAGAGGCTGGAACGTAAAGGTCGACCTTTAACGAATTCCGATGCCGAAATCAGACATTTGCAGCAGGAACTGAGCGATAAAAACAAGGTAAATAATAAATAATTACGAACACAGAAATATTTAGCTAAAAATACATTTTTTTATATATATCTCTAGGAAATCTCGGACCTAAAGCATTCTCACAACAAACTGAAGAAGATGGTACAGGACAAAGTAACCGAACTGGCTCATGCCGTTCGCAGAGCCGAGCAGTATGAAGCCGAGGTGAAGAAACTCAGGAGCAGGGTGGAGGAATTGAAGAGGGATTTGGCTGTGGCTGAGGACGAACTTGATACGGCTACTAACAACATCAGGAGACTACAGAGGTCCAACGACGAGCTACAGGAGCAGGTGGACAATTTTCAGGTGCAGCTGCAACACCTGCACACAAGGTTAGTGCCGCCGAATTCGTAATTCTGTAATTTCACTGCTAAATCAGTTTAGGCGCAGCTTCAACTCTTCCATTAATACAGGTGTCGGGGTATTTTCGCAGGGCATTGGTACATTAGAATTATAAAACTGCCACAATTAAAATAGTTCACGGTTTTTATATGTAGTGCATCAGTAACTCGTAAATTAGATTGAGTCGGGTACCGTAATGCTCCTGGAACCTGAGGGGTTACTTCTTTCTTTATCCACCGTTACGAACATCAATTCTTGAAAGGGAGCTCATCGATTATCATTTACACTTTAATTATGATACGTGGGAACTTAGAAATGTTGTATGGTAAGAGAATGAGTTTCAGGCACTTACCGTTTTTTTGCTCACGTAGTGTTTAATCCATGGGTCGGTCATACAGTGTGTTATACAGTCATCGAGACACTCGCTCAATGAATTACTTAATTTAAAGAGAACAAGAGAACACTAGAACTTCTTAACCCACCCAAATGATTTACCAAAACTGAGTGATCAGTTGTATGTGGTAGGTCAGCGGAAAAGTAGAAAAATGCAAAGACATTAACTTTTCAGTGATACCATAAATCCCTTAAGTCATACCATTTTGATGTTATCTGATGTTTTTTTTTAAAGAAATGTAAGCATCATCCTCGAAAATATCAAATATCTTCAAAATTAAACACGATGCGGTTTTCACCATTCTTTTTGCAAAATCTGTCCTATGCATTACTTCTTACTAGAGGTGCTAATCGCGGACAATTAGTTTAATTGTGAAATTTTTGGGATGAAGGTTAACTAATCCCAGAACCCCAGGATTAGTCCCAAAAAAAATTATTATTTATAAAATTTAAGGCAAAATGAAACAAAATAGATGAAACACAAACATATAAAAAAATTTACAAGTTGCCCTTTTTGTTACAATAAAAAGGACAGCATACAATCGGCGAATGTTCAAGATTTCACCTAATCGATGATTTGGCAGATTTTTACTTTTTTTTTAAGCATAAAACCCAGGTTTCCAAAATTTGAGGACATTACTTTTGTAGATGAATTTTAAGTGTTAATTTATTTAAGTGTTAATCCATTATCAAGATCGATAGTTCATCAATATGTTTTTGATATTCATGTGAAGGATGAATTTTGAACATTTTGAAATGTTCAAGTCAAGGGAATTAAGCGGAGACCCATTAAAAAACTGTCAATGTCAATCTGTAACAAATCAGTCACTACAAAGTACTGGCTTAAATATGTCAGCAAGCAAGATATTTAGAATGATTTAAAACATGACTGATATCATTAATGAAATGTTTAAACAAAACTGGTCTACAATGAGGACCCTGTGGAACCCCAGAGGGAACATTCACTGCATCGAACACAAAGTTATTAATTTTAGCTTATTGTACTTTGTGTGACATAAAACTATAAGTCCAATCTATCTGAGACACTACTACTTACCCCTTGTTGAAATAAGTTTGCTTATCAATAAATTGTGATAGAGATTATCAAAGGCATTTACAATGAGGTTCTGACAAGAAATAGGCTATTGTCTATGTACTTTAGATAGGAACTACAACGTAACAGAAATTTTATTGTTTGATATGTTCAATTGACCCTAAAAAATGACAAAACCGAGGAGTGCTACCTTTTAAAGGGGTGCGTTTTTGAGAATGAAGTAAAAAGGTGGTATTTTCAGTTTTTTAAGTTTTACTCAAAAACTATGAATTTTTTCTAAATAATTGTCAACAGAAAAGTTGTAGCAAATTGAATTTTCAATCGAAATGAGACCTTTTGAAGTCAAAAAATATTATTTTTAACAAAAACATGCCCAAAAAAACGAGTAAAAAGAAACCCGAAAAAAAGCGTTTTTTTTTCTTTTTGGTTTTTGACCCACAAATTTTTTCTGAGAGTAATTAGGTATAGGCATTGCTTCACAGAAAAAAAGTTAGTGTTTTCCTTTAAAATAAGCCTTTATAGAAGTACCTACGACTAATAGAAACCGAGATACATTGGATCAAAGTTGGCTACTTTTTGGATTTTTGGCCAATTTTTGCCCTTTTTTGACGATTTTCGTCTTATAACTTTTTTCTGAGTTAATTTAGGTATATGTAATGCCGTATTCAAATGAAAACTGGTTTCAAGACCTTTAAAATGGTGCCTGGTAGAAGTTTGTACAATTAAAATCTACCGAGATATGTTAATTTAACCAACGATACTTTTTTCTTTTTATAAAATTTTTATTACTTTTGGTATTATTTTGTCTAATAAATTTATTTTTGTGAATGTGAAAGTTAAAATAAGTTTCTAGGTGATTGGATATTATTATATATTTATTTAAACAACAGTTAATCATATATATCTTATAAATTTTCAGTTTGATTTATAGTATATTTTCAATATTAATATCAATTTCGTAGTCATCATTTTCATCAATGTCCTCTTCAGAAAAATCAGGCTTATAAGCATTCTCACAATTTATTAATACATTTACAGGCTATTTTTTCAAGTAAATATTCAGGTGCAGGAGATTTATTATTAAAAAATGGTAACTAGCCCATTAATGGAATTTTTCCAACCCCAATCAAGGGGATTTAAAGTACAACCATTCCACTGTTGCATCTGAAAATATACTCTGAACCCATGATGTTTTTAGAGCATCAGTTGTCGAAGGCAATCGAGATAAGGAAAATTTTGCACTTGATGAATACTTTTGAAATAATTTATATCAACAAGTTTTTAGGCTGTCAATTTTTTAACTATACATTATAGTTACAATGCATTCAGATGCAGCAGTGATATCCTCAACACTAGCATTTTCAAGTAAAAATACATCGAGGTAATTTTTTAATTTTGAAAAATTCTTATTTACAAAATTGAAAATTTTTTTGTAATTTTAATTTTTTAATTAAAAGTACAAAAATAATTAAAAGAATTCGAAATTTTACAAGATAAATATGATCGTAATTGTTGTTTAAATAAATAAATAATAATATTCAATCACCTAGAAACTTATTTTAACTTTCACATTCATAAAAATAAATTTATTAGACAAAATAATACCGAAAGTAATAAAAAATTTATAAAAAGAAAAAAGTATCATTGGTTAAATTGAATCCTCTAGTATCAAAACCCCTTAAATCCACTTTAGTGAAATTTGCATAAATGAAGAAAAACTGTTTAACCAACTTCTGTCGACGACTCCGTAATGAATGTTTGTTTTGTGAAATTTTTACACTAACGGCAATAAATTGCAACAAACACAACAAAATTGTTAATAATAAACCCACTAATTTGAAAACAAAAATGGAGTTAGTGGCATTTGAAACCAACTATAGGATTTAATGAATTTTGAATATAAATAAAGTGGATTTAATGGGTTTTGACAAAGAACAAATGAAAATGACAAAAAAAATGTAGGTGGCACAACATTTTTATTAAAGACAAACTAATAAAGTAATTATGAATTACTATTAATAACACAGCCACACAGAAAAAAAAAACTTGGGTATACTTTTTATGCGACATATATTTTTCGTAGTAATTTGGCCTCCTGAACACGAATCTGGGGTCAGAATTGGCCCATCACGTCACAATTTTTTCCTAACCTCAAAAAACTTGTGAAAAATAGTGAAAATTGATGAAAATTTACTGGGAAAATTTGGAAAAAAATTTATTTCCACATCAAATAGTACATTTTTATGTAAAAGACTCTGCTGAATTCAAATCCACTGTCAGAATTGAGCTAGAACGTGTGGTTTTTTTTCTAACCTCAAAAAACCGAGCAGGAATCGCTATTTTCAAATTCTGAGCGGATTTTGACCAGATTTTGTATAAAGGGGTTTTTTGGGTCGCTGATTACGAATATGAATTCACATTGTAAAAATTCAAGATGGCTGATCCAATATGGCGGGTGTACTTTTTTGAAATCCACCGATTTCAGTAAAATTTGGCATCATAAGGATTGCTGGTTGATCTCACCTTCATTAATCACACATCTGGAGCCAGATTTTCATAAATCAAGGTAAAAGATTCCACTCCGTCTAAAAATGTGACTTCGCTTAAAAAAATGACTTAAGGACTCTACACATGTAATGATGTGTAGTGTGATGTGCTTGTTTCCATGGGACAAGACAAAAAAGTTTCTACTTTATTCTTTCATTTATTTAGTCGTGCATGGGCTTATGGTTTTCCAATCAGATTTTTTTAACTACTATGCAGTTTTCCTATGGCATTTAGATGCTTTTATTTCTTAATAATTTTAAAGTTCAAGGAAAAGGACACATTACTGCCACACAGCACATCACTGCATCTGCTTATGCCTTCAATCTAAAAATGTGACTTTGCCGAAAAAATGCCGCCTACTCGGCCTAAAATTATGACTCTGCCTACAAATTTTACCTTGATTTATGAAAATCTGGCTCCAGATGTGTGATTAATGAAGGTGAGATCAACCAGCAATCCTTATGATGCCAAATTTTACTGAAATCGGTGGATTTCAAAAAAGTACACCCGCCATATTGGATCAGCCATCTTGAATTTTTACAATGTGAATTCATATTCGTAATCAGCGACCCAAAAAACCCCTTTATACAAAATCTGGTCAAAATCCGCTCAGAATTTGAAAATAGCGATTCCTGCTCGGTTTTTTGAGGTTAGAAAAAAAACCACACGTTCTAGCTCAATTCTGACAGTGGATTTGAATTCAGCAGAGTCTTTTACATAAAAATGTACTATTTGATGTGGAAATAAATTTTTTTCCAAATTTTCCCAGTAAATTTTCATCAATTTTCACTATTTTTCACAAGTTTTTTGAGGTTAGGAAAAAATTGTGACGTGATGGGCCAATTCTGACCCCAGATTCGTGTTCAGGAGGCCAAATTACTACGAAAAATATATGTCGCATAAAAAGTATACCCAACTTTTTTTTTTCTGTGTGGCTGTGTAATTAGTAAAACGAGTAAAAATTAATAATAAACTAATGAAAAACTAAAATAGTAA